CTTATCTGTTGACTGACGCAACACTCGCCTGGTCCGACAGGAGCCGCAGCAGGAGAATCATGAAAGTACAAACCTGTTTTTTTTTATGTGTGCTAATTATTTTGCTGACTACGGAAAGGGAAGACGGCATCGGGCTACAGCAGGTAGAGGAAGGAAGGGAATGTGTGTTAGATCAGCTCGTGAGCTCGTTGCTGCTTGTGAAGCAGCCAGTTATCAGACCTTTGGTTACTTAGTAGTGTTGCTGGAACGAATGTGCTAACTGGTCGAATAGATGGTGTGTGGGCTGTTGTGGCCAGAGGTTGCCATTGTTACTGGTAGTCACCGCCGGGGTAAGCTGCCGCTGGCCGCACATATTGAGACTGTGCCAGCGAACTGTGCGTGAGGACTGCTGGTGGCTACAGACTAGGCACGGATTATTATTACAGCTGTCTGAGGTATCCGCTGGGTGTTGGTGTTGTGTTTGGTGGCTGAGCAAAGGACGGCTGCCACTGTTTCTAACTATGCCAGCAGCTATTGTCGTCAGTCAGGCACAAGTTACAGCTGCGCACTGTGTAGGTGCTGCAGCCGGCGGCCGCTGACTGTTACTAGTGACCACCACTGAGTACTACTGTTGCGTCTAAAAGATTGTTACGGATCGAGGTGCGATTGCTGTAGGCTGAGGACATGCTACCACTACAAGCTGCTGTTAACGGTATGTACACATGCTTCGGACTGGCACGAATATGCTGCTGTGTACGGCGCACGGTTGCTGCTGCGTACAGGCTGACTGTTGCAGTCTGCTGCGTATGGTGGTTGGTTGTTGCAAGCGGCCGCTGCTGTTTCTGACTATGCACAGCTGCGGTTTCTGTTGACTATAACTACTGTTTGGCTGCTACTGTTGCTGCTGGTCGCCGCTGTATGCTGCTGCCTCGTCTAAAAGAGTGTTGCAAGGTATGGTGCGGCCGTGATTGGGATGAAAAGAGGTGCTGAGGCTTGGGGAGGTGGTTAGTTTATACGAGGGGGTTGTTGCTGCGATTCTGAGAGGTCGTCAGAAGGTCAACGATTGGCGGTTTGACTCATAGTATTTTTTTGCGTGACCAAGTTGGCACAGTTGGCTGCCATTGCGGGACCCTCAGGAGCATCAAGATTACGAGGCCCTCTTTAGCGAGTCTGAGTACACCTCTCTTGGATCTGAGAGTCTCAAAACTTTCTACTTCTACCCTTCTTATTCTAAGTCTAGTCTTGTTCTGAGGGGAAGGCGGCAGGCGGGATTGCAACCCGTAGGACCGCAACAAGACTTTGTGGGGAGCCATCCCACCGATTGCGGGAACTCTGCCGGAGCCTAGGCGAGGCTCTGGAGGCAGGGAATTGACAGATACCCGTTGCGTTTTCCTTCTCTACACCTGAGATATAACCCCTATTTGTACTACCTGATGCATCTCTGACTGAATATATGGTGTGCAGCCCTATCTTATTTTTGGTTTGACTTCAGGAGATTGAACCAGACTAAGTAAAGAAATGTTTGTGAGGTCTCAGTTTCAGTTTTGTTGTTTGTATGAACTCAGACTGTTAAAAGAAACTGCATCTGGGGGAAAGGTAGGATGGGGGTTTGTTTTGCTTGATGGTTGACCGGGTCATTAAGGCTGAGAAGTACCCATAAGTTTGGGGAACCCTATCGCTTTGTTTTATTTTGGTTTTGCATGGAGAAGTCAGACCCTTCTATAAGTTTAGGGGGTCTGATTACTCTGGAGGCTGGGATGTCCCCATAAGTTTGGGGAGACCCAGTGCTATGGTTTGCATGGAGGGTCAGGCTGTTCTGTAAGTTCAGGTGGCCTGATAACTCTGACCTGTGAGGGGTTTGATTGTGCTTGATTTTCAAGGACTCAGGGCGCTCAATAAGTTTTGGTGCCTTGGGTTGCTTTGTTTTCGTTGGGATTTTACTTGTTTCTTTGGTTTCTAAACGAGGAGACGGAGTTGTTCTGTAAGTTCAGGTGGCTCAGTCTCTTCCTGCTTTTTATTCTGAAGAATTAATCTTGGCAAAGAGGCAGACCCTTCTGTAAGTTCAGGGGGTCTGACTCGATGCCACACACATAATGGCTCAGATAGAAACGAATCTACCAGAGAGTTAAGACCCTTCTGTAAGTTCAGGGGGTCTGGTTCAAAGCCTCGCACATGCTGGAACCCAATGATTATAAGTTGGCTATAATTTATTACTACTCTATCTAAGAACGAGCTAATCAGACTGTTCTATAAGTTTAGGTGATCTGACTATAGCCATATCACAACTTGAAGAAAGTACAACTAAGAATAGAATTGATGGTAAACTGGGGCAGGCTGAACTTAAGCTAGTTCAGTCATATGCAGCCTTAGAAGACAAAGGTAAAAATAAGTATATATAACTTGGATACTTTAAAACAGTCTAGGGCGACTAGAGTGGTCTAGTCGTGTGCCCAAAGAAGAGGAAAGTAGTTGTGCCCTCTGTTTGTGTATATTTGGCCAAGTCAGAACGCTCTATAAGTTTAGGTATTCTGACTCTAGGCCTGGCTAAGTTGAGCTGTTCTGTAAGTTCAGGCGGCCTGACCTATACCTTATGTAAGCCCGGTATAAAGGGTTAAATCATTAAAAGATCATGAACTATTGTTTGTTCAAGTTGATTTTGGGATGGTGAGAGTACTTACCCTTGTGGTTTGACCTGCATGTGACTGAGTGAGGCTACTACTTAGTCCGAGTTTCAGTTTGATAGGTAGTTGCTTTAGTCGCTCGCCACGTGCTAGAGTCATAGGAGTTAGTTTCAATTCCTGCATTTTCTGAGCTAAGTTTTTTTTTACTAATGTCAATTCTCGCATTTTCTGGGATCTTTTCTTATACTTGGCTTTGTATAAATCTTGGCAGACCACTTTCTCTACGGGAAGCGCTGCCAAAATTTCTACAAATCCAAAGAGTTAGTCAAATTTTTCCTTGTCCAAACTTGACTTGTCTTTCTGACTTAGTAAAAATATGGGAAGCCTCCCTTTCTAAAGGGAGTGCTGCCCAAATTTTTGCTGATCCAGGAAGTTACTCAAAAGTTTGGCTTATCAAAGCTTGACTTGTCTTTTCATTATATCTGGCTTAGTAAAAATCTGGAAAGCCTCATTTTCTAAAGGGAGTGCTGCCCAAATTTTTACTAATTCGGGGAGTTAGTCAAATTTTTGACTTCTCAAAGTTCAACTTGTCTAGATTTCATATATGGTTTAGTAAAATTCTGGGAAGTCTCATTTTCTAAAGAGAGTGCTGCCCAAAATTTTGCTAATTCAGGGAGTTAGACAAAATTGGACTTTGGAGAGTCAAGGGTTATTTCTGATTTCATATTTGGGCTTATATAAATTATGAGAGGACACTTTTCTTACGGAAAGCGCTGCCTAAATTTCCCTGTTTTTAGAGGAGTTAGATTACTTTCGACAGGTGGCGCTAGAGAGTATTATAAGGAGGTGTGCTATGAAGGTTTATCCCCCATATGCTGATGATTTAGCCTGGGCCTTTGACCTATCTTGTGTTACAGGTCCTTAGGGTTGTCTGATTCAAGGTCAGGACTAGATTCAGCTTGATCCCTTGAGGATCATTATCTGTTATCACTGATAACAGGTCGGTTGCCGATTGGTCGGTTTACAACTCAATTCCAACTCACCCTCCACACTCAACCTAAAAGGCTTTAGCCCTGGTGACTTCCTTTGTTTCATTATGGTTTCACCGAGACTTTTATTGAATGGCCATTTAACAAAGGTACTGAGTTTTTATTTAAGGTTGGTTGGACAGGAGGTTGGGACTTGCATGGCTAAAGCGAGGGGTATGAGTGTTGAAAATGGTTGGGGTTGACTCCGTGTAGTGCGTGGGTTGTCGATTGACTCGTGAATGTGATTTGCAGGTATGTGCTATGAGTCAGATTCTGGATTTGGTTGCCTGCGATCACAAATATACGTATGACTGTGAGGGACCCCGATGAGACTGTGAGAAGTAATCGTCATGTACTTCCCCCTTATATACATATATATATGGGTGTACGTAGAGTGAATGTCTGTCTAGGTTAAGGGGTTCCGTACAAAAAGGGATACTCAGAAGGTAAGACTGAGAGGCCCAGGGGGGACTCCTCCGTCTATTTTGCCTTGTTTCTTGATATTTTTTCTTAGTCGGACGTTGGTCCTGGGTCGGGATTCGAGGTCCTTGTCCAGGACATCCCAAACCCTAGGCTCTTCAGAGGAGGGATTTTTCCCTCTTGCGGAGCCTATTTGCCTTGCTTACCGAGACGCTCAGACCTAAGGCCGGAGGTCTCACGGCGACCGCATGGCTATTCCTTCAGCCGTGCAATGTCGTGAAGGATTAGACCCTCACGAAACTTCGAATCTGACACTTGAGTGTCATAGGCGGTACTCGGATCCACGAGGGACCGCTTGATTATGGGCACTACATAGTACGCCATCATTGCGACTGCTTGCGTACGCCTGCATTGCGAGTCGATATGAGTAGGCCCTGCGCCCGCGCGGTTTTATACTAAGTCTCGCGCATGACACTTATTTGTTTTCCGCACCGGAAAGTTATGGGTTGGCTACCGAGGGGCTAGGAGCGTTGTCGCGTTGTTTGTGTTGTGTTGTTTCGTGTGTGTGTGTGTGTTTTATTTTTTGTGTTCGTAAAGTGGTGTGCGCGTGGTGTGTGGGATACGTCCTAGTCGACCGACGATAGGCCGCGCTTGGGACTTCAACCCCCCAAGATGGCGGTTCGCGTGCGGGTCCGATAGAGGCGTATTACCGCGCGTACCCCCTATGCTACAGCGAACGAGAAACGCCCTCGGCTGGTCCACCTCTGCGATTGCAGCTGATTAACTTTCGTACTGTGGACTGGTAGCTCGGCGAGGATACGCCCACCGAAGGGAGGTGACAGCTCCCGTAACGCGGAGGTAAGTCGTGCCTCGCGTAGGCTCTATCCTGTCGTAGGGGTTCGCGAAAGGTATTGCTGGCGTACTCGGCCGGAGCGGCTTGCGGAAGCTCCATGTATATTCACGACGAAGGATATAAACCAACTCCTGCGTGACGCGACCGGGAGGGTCCCGCTGCCCTGGTGCGGTGCCGGACCGATGCACTCGACAGGTGGCGCCGTTGTCGGGGATAACGGAAAGCCTACCGTTGTCCCTGKTGGAACGACATCCGGGTATGAGAAGTGGAAAAAAAAAAAAAAAAAAAAAAGACGAGAAGGTAAGAAAAAGTAATGAGTGAGTAAGTATAGGTGAGGAAGTTTACCTACCTAAGTTATGAGAAGTATGAAGGACGATCGTGTTAGTATTGGGTAAAGTATGCAGTAAGAGTTAGGTAGAGCGGAAGGAATAGACCGGTCAAGGTTTAATGCTGAATAAAGGGGTGTGCTTGTTTTTCTCTTATCGGGGAGCTTGAGGAGGAGAGTCTGTCAAGATGTCGCAGGGCAGCGGCACGTCAGGTGCTCCCAAGAAAGGCCTGACGCTCGATGACCTTATCGCAGCTATTGACAGGCATGAAAGAAATCCTAGCAATATCCCCAAGGTCGATACCTTCCATTTTTGTGGGGAGAGAGTCTCTGAATGGCTGGAGCGGGTGGAACAAACTCTGGTCGGGCGGTCGGATGTTGTAAGATTTCAGCACATTCTCTAGTACGTTCTCCACAACTACCACCAAAAAGTGAAGAAAGTTATAGATGCAGCCCAAGGTAACTGGGAAAGATTCAAGGAGGGAATGCAGAGGAAGTACCGCCTGGGAGATGGACTGTTGACCACTGCGGACCTCGAGGCAATGAACAAAGAGGATTTTACGACGATAGGGACCTTTGTTCAAGAATTTAAGCAGAGAGCGCGGAAGGTGCATGGGATTTCGGAGGAAGCACAGTGCGCCATTTTCCTAGGGCTACTCACGTCATCGGAGGCCGTCGAGTTGACGAGACATAGAGGGGGTACCACCAAGCTCACCTGGGCCACCATTGACAGAGGGGTGAAAGTTGGGTGTTTGGACCAGGTGGAGCAACGTCAGGTACGCCTGCAAAGGCAGAAGAGAAAGGAAAGAGATGCGACCGCTTCTGGGACCTCGGGGGTAACAAGGATTGTTATAGACGTATTGGCACAACTGGGGTATGCGACAGAGCCGGTGGTGTAAAGGAGGGTAGTAACGGCTGTCCAAGTGAAAGGAACGGAGCCCGTGATAGAGGAGGCTGTTCAGGAGGAGCTATGGGAAGAGGAAGAGCCGGTGACGCAACGCCTGACGAAGGCCCAGTGCAAAGTGCGTAACTTGGCGCAAGGCGGACAGGGATCAGGAAAAGCGCAGGCGCCTCAGGCGGTGGCGGCGGCTCCTCCAAGTGTGGCGGCGCCCTCGTTTAGTGCGGGCCTCTTGCAAGGAGGGGCACCCTCCTACGGACAGTGGCCCTGGCCGGTGATCAATGCAATTGTGCCATGGGGTAGCCTGCCGCCAGTAGCCGGACCACAAATGAGTATGCCGCCACCCATCTACCCCACAGCCCAGGCCCAGCCTGTGGCCCCACCACCGTTACCTGCTCCCAGTTCACAGGGAAGCGTAGCTGGAGGTGGGAACCAGGGGCAGGGCAATCAAGGCAACGGAGGGAGGGGTGGAGGAAGGGGGAGAGGCAGGAATGGCGACGGAAGAGGAGGGCAATGGAATAGTCAAGGCCGAGGAAACCAAGGCCAGGGGTACCAAGGCCAGGGGAATCAAGGCCAAGGGTACCCAGGTCAGGGGTATCAAGGCCAGGGGGATCAGGGAAGTCAGGGGTATGGGACACCTCGTTTTGACTGGAGGACGGCCATCTGCCAGCATTGTGACCAGCAAGGTCACACCATAAGGTTCTGTAATATAAGATGGGAAGACGAGAGGAGCGGGCTGATCTCCTCCACCATGGATGGGAACATTTACGATCAGTTTGGGGAGACCATTGACAGAAGGCTTGGAAAAGTGAGAGCGGAAGCCCAACGGAGGGCGGCGGCCGGGTCGCTATGGCGGGAGAAGAGAGGACCATTGGTGGGAATAGAGGGACTCAGGCTATGGCAGAAAAAGGAAAAGTCGTCGATTAGGATAGAGGAAGTGGGGAGCGACGAGGAAGTGACCCAAGAGACGCGAGGAGGAAGCAAGAGGGAAGAGCCCATAATCGTCGAATCGGATGACGAGGACGAGGAAACAAGGGTGAAACCATCGTCCGTCTTATTGGGAAAGATGGAGGACCTGTTGAACAAGGTAAGAAGGTACCAACAGAGGTTGGTGAACGTCTGTAGAGAAGTGAGGGAATGAAAGTCTAGCATCCCCAAGGTATTCCTGTACGACTCCGGCCCGGAGTCAGCGCCTGGGCGACCCGGAGTAAATGTGGTGGGGCCAAGCCCACAATCGGGAGTGATAGGGAGACCCCTCACTCCACAGGCAGCACGAACGAGAAGTCAAGCCAAGGCCAGTGCTAACCAAGAACCTCCGAGAAGGGAGCCCGAGCTAGGAAGGAGGAAATAGGCCGTGGAAGTGGAGGACGACGATGATGAGGAGGAAGAAGACGAGAGGCTGCGTCGGGAAGAGGATCAGAGAGCGGAGCAGCGGGCAAGGAAAAAGGGGACCAGGGGAGAGGCCGAACCGGTTATACGTGACGGACCGCCCAACAAGAAGAAATACGCGGTTCGGTTGGAGGAGGGATTTGACGTAGAGAAAGTGATCGACCGACTGCTGGAAGGGCATAATGACCTCATGACCTTGAAGGAAATCCTAGCGTCGGCCCCGCGGCTCCGCGATGAACTGAAGGGGAGATTGTCGCGGCTCCTGGTGCCCAATGTCCATCTGGGTACGATCCTGCCTAAGGAGGCTGAGTGGGCGGAGTCGGGTATGAAAATGGACTGAAAGTGTGTAGCTTGCGGCACGGTGGATTTGGTGGTGAAGGGTTCCAAGTGCGCAACAATGGTGGACACTGGGGCGGAGATGAACATTATCCGGGAGGCGGACGTGATCAGATTCGGGCTGGATATAGACCGTTCTGACTGCGGTATTCTGCACGGAGCCAGCTGCAAGGCCGTATTTTGTGGGACAACCTCGAATGTACTCATCGAGGTTGGAAAGGTGAAGGCCCGGGCTTGTTTCTTCATCATGTTGGACGTGGATCACGGAATCCTCCTAGGGAGGTAATTCCTAAGAAGGACGGAGACCGTGATGTTCAATAAGCATGACGGGACGTTAATTCTCCTCCTATGTGACCCTGCCTGCGGGAATTACGAAATAATTACTTGCAGGAACACAGGGCCAAGGAGTATAAGGAACCGACCCAATCCAGGGTCGTTCACAATCGAACAGTCGGAAGGTGAGCGCCGGAGGCTCCGGACAGAACCAGAAGTATGAGAGAGGGTGGAAGCATTTTTCCTCAGCTTGTTGGACGTCGGGAAGGCCATGGACTTGCTGGCTGCGCATTAGATGGCAGATCCGGATGCCATCCAGGCCTTGAGGGAACAAGTTCTGGAATGCCCCGAGGCAGGGAGGTTGGAGCTGGTATATCGGCTTCCGGGCGGCGGAAAGGGCCTTGCATCAACGCAAACGCAGTCTGTGAGTTGGCTTTTTTTAGGGGGCGGCTCAAGCAGGGTTCCCAAAGGCGGTACAAGACGGTAGACAAGAAGTGTCGCCCGGTTCCCGTCCTCGTTACAGAGGACGAGGAAGCATACTACGAGAGGGAACGAGGGTTGATACGGCGAATGAGGGAGAATGCGCTAGCAGGGCCATGTCGTATCAACGAAGGGAATGAGGGGAAGTTGATCATAGGGGAGCTTGACTTCCTACTGCCTCAGGAGCGGACATTGATGGTGGAGTTGATGAAGAGGAGGCATCGCGCCTATGCGTTTAGTGACGAGGAGCGTGGCAGACTGAATGTGGATAAAATACCTATGATCCGCATCCACACCGTGCCACACGAGCCTTGGAACATGAGAGGGGCGCGATATCCAAATCCTGACGAGGAAAAGAAAGTGGTGGATTACCTCGACGGCAAGATACATACGCACGTCGCCGACTATTCGAGTGGGCCGTATGCGTCCCCGTGGTTCTGCTTCATCAAGCCCAACGGGACGCTGCGGTGGGTGCAAGATTTGCAGAGGCTGAATGCGGTGACCGTGCGAGATGCTGGAGGACTGCCAAATGCGGGCGCTCTATCAGAATCCTGTGCTGGAAGGCCTATAATCTCACTTAAAAACCTTTACTCAGGATATGATCAGTTTTCGGTCTACCCGCCAGACAGGCCGGTGACGGCTATGCACATGCCGCGAGGACTAATCCACATGAACGTGGCCCCACAAGGGTGGACCAACGCGGTAGCAATGGTCCAACGGGCCATGATTCGGGCTATGCAGTCAGTCAACCCCCATATCACACAGCCATATATCGATGATTTGGCGGTGAAGGGGCCGACAATAAAGGAGAGCGACAAGGTCTTGCCAGGGGTAAGGCGCTTTGTTTGGAAGCACATCCAGGACCTCGATAAAGTCCTGAGTCTGCTCGAGGAGCATAACCTCATGGCGAGCGGGGCTAAATCCAGACACCGCATGAGGGAAGCGACTATCTTGGGGTTCGTCTGCAGCGAGAAAGGCCGAAGACCAGATGTGAAGAAGACGGACAAGATTACTGAGTGGCCAGTTTCGTTCCACTCAATAACTGATGTCAGGAGCTTCCTTGGTATGTGTGGATTTTGGAGGGCCTTCGTCAAGAACTTCGCCGCTAAGATTGAACACCTGAGGAAGTTAGTCCGTCAGGATCAAGAATGGGTTTGGGGTGAAGAGCAAGAAGAGGTGGTGGCCAGAATGAAGGAGGAGTTTTGAGAGGGAGGGTTGGTATTAGGGGCGCCAGATTATGATGCCATGGAGACGCGACCCTTCATTGTCGAAACGGATGCGGGGCCGACTGCCTTAGGGGGAGTTCTAATTCAGGCAGACATGGAAGGAAAGGAAAGACCCTTGCGATTTGAGAGTCGGACTCTCTGTACGACCGAGAGGAACTACTCTCAGTTCAACAGGGAGACTCTTGCCGTTCTCCACAATCTGCGGATTTTTCGGAACTACATCTTCGGTAGGAGGTTTATTTTGAGAGTGGACCCCACTGCCCTGACCTACTCTCTAAGGAATTACGTTCCATCGGATCCGACGGTTACCAGATGGCTGACGTACATCTGGATGTTTAACTTCGAATGGGAGCGGATTCCTGGTAGTAAGAACCGGGCGGACGGACTAAGTCGGATCAACTGGGATAAACAGGAAGGGGAGGCGGTGGAGAATACGCCCTCAGTAGATGGATTTCTGGATCAGGAGGAAGATGTTCGTCTCCATATCAACAAATGGTCGCCACGAGTGCCTAGCTGTGTGGGCTATCCTATTTGGCAAACACCGAGCAGATATGAAAGGAGGGCAGAGCTAGTCCTCAAACCCGTTGAAGGAGAAGATCCTTGGGGAGGTAAGGATGTTCAGTGGATGATGGAGTTGGCGCTGGCCAGTTGGCATAGTCTGGTGGAAGACATAAGAACGATCGAGGAAGGACCAGGCCAGGTAGAACGGCATGAGGACCTGATGGGAATAATGTATCTCCTCGTAACACATTATTGCAGGAAAGCCTCGACCAGTCAGGCTCGTTGAACCCGGCAGGGAATGTGGATGAAGTGCCCGAGAGCCAAGACGACGAGTTTGAGGAGGGCGAGATTAAGGAGGTCTTTCGTGCAGAGGAGTATGATGGGATCTACCTAGAGCTGGGGTTTCTTTTGTCTTGCGAGATGCGGCTAAGGGATGCGAGCGATAGGGCTCAGATGATGCTGCAGTGCTACTTAGTGCGTGACGGTCACGTGTTCGTGAGAAGGGAAGTGGGGAATCCCAGGAGAGTTGTCTGCGGTAGGAACCGTCAGATTGACGTCATAGCAGCACTTCATGACGACATTGCGGGAGGGCATCGAGGGGTACAAGCCACGTATGCCAAGATAAGTGAGTTGTACTACTGGGATGGGATGATAGACATGATTGGAAAGTTCTGTCGATCTTGTGTACCTTGCCAGGAGAGATCTCGTTTGAGGCAAGGAGAGCCGTTACATCCAAGGCTAGAGCGGGAGGTGGGGGCTGTAGTGCATCTCGACCTACTTTTCATGCCGCTTGGGGATCAAGGCTATAACTACATCTTCGATACGCGCGATAACTTATCTGTCTTCGTAGATGGGCGTGCCATTCGTACCAAGACAGACTCAGTCTTGGTTAGCTGCATCGAGGAGTACTACCTGCGTTATCCTTTCGTCAGGGAATTCGTAATGGACAGGGGATCGGAGTTTACCTGCCAGGAGGTGCAAGAATTGCTATCAAGGTATGGTGTAGCAGCTAACTACACCACGACCGCGCACCCCCCGACGAATGCTCTCGTGGAGAGAGGGCATAGTACCATTACGAGCCTCCTGGCTAAGTGGACCGAAGGTAGGCCTAATCAATGGCCAAGGTACCTAAGGACAACTTTCTTCGTCGAGAACATTATAGTGAAAAGATCCACCAAGTATGCGTCAGCCACTCTGTGGTATGGAAGACACGCCACCTTTCCTATAGAGAGCTTTCTTAAGACATGGAGGCGCCAGGATCTGGAAGTCGACTTGTCTTTTGAGGAATTGCTCGACATTCGGGCGCGACAGATAGGAGCGATAGAGGAAAGGATCCAGGAGGCGTCCGATCAAGTGGCTAGAAGCCGTATGGATGATAAGACTCGATGGGATCAGTCTGCTCGGGTGAGGAAAGTACCTCTAGCAGTTGGGGATGTCGTGCTCCTTTACGATTCATCTTTGGACAAGCAGTGGTCCAGGGAGCTCGATAAGAGGTGGTTAGGTCCCTACCGGATCGTACGGGTCGGAGACTTTGGAGCTTACCAGATTGAGGAGCTAAATGAGACTGAGTGGAAGGATTGGGTATCTGGAACGCGATTGAAGAAATTTGTGTCGAGAGAAGAGGTAAGAGAGACGATCTGACTACCTCTAGAATAGAAGCGATAGGTTATGTAGGTCGGATAGGTTGTATGCTGCATGAGCGTGGTATGGTCTGAGCCTGCTTGATTGTCATCTGTTTGCTTACCCCAATGTGTGTCTATCGTCTCCTTCGCCTGTTGTGCAGGTCTGACTTTATGAAGACAGCCATGCCAAGCGGAGGGAGGGGGACACAGCCGCCTCGGAGGCCGTTGGGAGCATCAGGAGGATATGAGCAACATGGGCCTCGCCATCGAGAGAGTACTCTGATGTACGATGATGGGGACATCAAGCTATTCCTGGACAGTTTCTGGAAGCATGCGAGGCGTATGGGTTGGACGGTGGCCCAGGCAATCGAGAGACTGAGGGGAGCAGGCAGGTTCGAGGAGCCCATTGCCAGGATTCATAGGGAGGCGACGACGAGGCAGGAAATGGAAACGAGGATGGAAGAGCTGCGACCCTCGCCTGTGGGACCAGACGGCAGGCCGATCCGTTTAGAGATCGAAAATGTGGCAGACTTTATCCCTGCCTTCGAGTGGTTCATGCAGGGGCAGGGTACACCGAGAGATGAGTGGGCGAGGACGTTACCCCTCTGGACCAGAAAGGCGGAGAGGGCACTGACTAAGCAGGTCAGAGACATGGCCGGGGACTGGGATAGCTGCAGGGCACATCTGAGAGAGGCCTTTCGACGACCAGAGCCCCCTCAGCCCAGAGTCGAGAGGCGTAAGAGGAGTCAGAGGCAGAGGGACCCTGAGTCTAGGGAGGCGAGACCGTCTCGAGGAGGATGGAAGGCCCTAGCCAGGAGAGAGGAGGAGCCAGAGCCGGGGCCAGAGGCTGAGGAGCGAGGGGTGTACCCTGAGTGTGGGTTGGGACCAGTGGAGTTCCACCAATTTACCGCGGGAGGATTGAGGAGGTTGCCAGCACGCATACAAGAGGAGCCGCCAGCGTCTGAGGGGCCTTTGAGAAAGTTGGAGGCGCATTTGGATATCTCTCGGTGGAGAGCGTCTCCTCGAGGAGAGGAGCGTGGAGGACCGGTAGAGGAGGTGCCACGATAGGAGGTGCCACGAGAGGAGGCGCCACATCAGGAGATGCCACGAGAGGAGGTCTGGGATACTCAGCGAGAGAGAGGGCTGGGCGATGAGGGGAGACGTGCAGGGAAGAAAGTGATAGAGGTTGGAGAGGACACGCCCCCTCAGACGCCAGCGGTGGGTTTGAGACTCGGGGATGCACCAGGGAGCACTCGCCAGGAAGGGGAGAGATTGCAGAGAGAGGAGGCCCCATTGCCTTCATCAGAAAAGGCTCCTTCGCCAGAGGGGAGAGCAGAAAGGAGGAGAGAAAAGGTAGTTGTAAGGAGAGAAGCCTTGACCCTGATTGACAGGCATCTAGCGGCTCATCCCATGGAGCACCCAGACCTTGAGGAGCCAGCACCTGCAGAGCCGCGCCAGGAGTCGTGCCAGCCCGAGAAGGAGGTGGAGGCAGAGATCCCGAAGAGGGTCGACCTCCGCACGAGGGAGAGGGCGCCAGCTGGAGAAACGGCTGAAGAAAAGAGGGCAAGAAGAACCAGGAGGATAGAAGACATATAGCAGGAGAGGCAGAGGTTGGAGGCAGCGGGGGAACTTCCGGAACAGTAGCAGGAGAGGCAGAGATTGGAGGCAGCAGGGGCTCTCCCGGGTCAGCCACCCAGCGAGCCAGCAAAGGCCCCAGAGATCCTAGAGATGTGGAGAGACTTCTGGGAGCGGAGAGGAGAGGAGCTTCCTTCGCCAATCAGAGCGGGGTTTGGGGTCGCAAGATCAAGTTCCTGGCCAAGACAACTTTTGACCGGCACTTGTTGTTGGAGAGCGATCTGGCAGGGAAGAAGATAAAGGAAGCCGACCATGGGGTATGCCTGGAGGCTATGGAGGTGGAAATCCAGGAACTCAGGGCATTGGTGGCCAGCCAGACAGCTATCATCGGGAGCCTGAGGCAACAATCTCAGGGAGGGGCGGACAAGCGAGAGAGCAGCCGGCGGGGAGAGCAGAGGCAGCCAGGACATGGTTTGCCAGGACAGCCATCTGTAGCAGAGACTCGCCAGGAGCCACCTATGGGGAGAGTTATCCTGGAGCTAGAGGAGGCGAGAGCCCAGAGGGAGGCAGAGAGAGAGGCCTTCGAGTTCAGAGCCCCTACTGAGCTCGCGACGCTACCTATAGCAGCGGCGGGCCCAGTCATACCTTTGGCAGTTGAGGAGGGGCTACCACCATCCAGCAGTGAGCCAGCTCAGGGCTAGGCAGAGGGATCTATGGACGTGCTCATTGAGGCAATGCACTCGATGCAGGAGGAGACAAGTTTGTTTTTGACTGAGCAGAGGATAGAGGAGCCTCTCGAGAGAGAGATGAGAATTGAGGTTGAGGGTGTCATCGAGGGCGGGCTCCAGAGGTTGGGCACGCCCGAGTATGGGCCAGAGGGGATTGAGGACCGACCTGGACCGAGTACCCAGGAGGTGGAGACACGAGAGAAGCTCTTGGATATGCCTCAGAGCCATGAGTTGAGCAGGGAGGCCAGCGAAGGGCCATCATCACCATGGTCTCAGAGAGGAAAGAAGAGGTCCAGGAAATGGTTCGATACGTCCTGCTTCTTCTGTACAAAGGAGGGGCATCGAGCCTTGCAATGTCTCAAGTTCCTAGAGGACAAGGCCGAAGAGAAGGTTACAGAGGAAGGAGGCAGGATGTATGATAGACAGGGCAGGAGAGTAGAGAGATCTGCAGATGGGGGTAGGGCTCAGTTATATAGGCAAAACCAGGAGGAGATGAGCGATCAGGACTGAGTTACCTATATAGTTGACATTTTGCGTGTAGGACTAGAGCTAGGATTGGATGACACTCTGTAGACCTAGATGTTGTCGCTGTTGTCAGGCAGTATGGGTTGGGTTTTTGTTGAGTCTGCCATCTTGAGGACCGGGACATGGTAGATGAAGCCTGTACATACTTAGGTGGCCTATGCCCTGATCTTCGAGAGACAGACCCAACTTGTACTTTGAGGACGACATCAGTGTGAGAGTGGCTTTGAGTGAGTTGAGTGGATTACGATTTGGGGACATTTGTGTATGGGGCATTCTGCCCCTGAGTGTATGTTGGAGGTTTTTCATGTGGGATATTTTATCCCTGAGTGTACATTATATCGATACCTTTTTCGGGGACTACTTGTTGTATATGACGATCACTCTCGCACTCACTTGTGTGGTCCTGGTTTGATGGACGGTGGTTTGGTGTGAAATATGCACGAGAAAATGCCTGATGTATTTTGTATTTGGTGAATCTGGATGAAAGTGAACTGTCTACTTGCCGGTGTACTCGTGCGACCTGCCCTTGGGCAGATGAGAGGGCCGAGTATAAGGCATGGAAGCGTAGTCTGTTTTGTGGAAGGATGTGAGGATCCTGAATATTTGTATGATGAGTATTCTATTGTTGAGTTGTGCAAAAGACTCATAAGTTGGTCCTTTAACATGGATCATATGATGAAGTGGGACACCTGTGAATGAAAAGGTTGTCCATTATCTACTTGGAAGACGCACCTTCAGAGAGGGAAGATGTGTTAAAGAAAAGGTCGCGAGAGAGTTCATCCTAGAAAGAGAAGGATGACTGAGAGACCTATTAAAGTGAGACCGCCTCTATAAATAAGGTGGTTAATAAGATTGATAAATGGAAGATTGATTTTGAGTAATAAAAGACTGACGAGAGGGACCAAATTTTTGTTTGACTATTGATGAAATTCTTAGATGTCGCAAATGGTGTGTCTTAAGAGATGTCGTCAAGATGTGTGACTTTCTTGATTTTATCAAGCTGGGAGGTCACGGCCTTGTGAATCAGGCAGTGATTTTGTTTTGTGATTGTGGAGAGGTTACCGTGCTTCTCCTGTGTTGTCCCACAAAGGAACTGGTAAATACCTTCTATGTGCGAAATGTCTATGCATAGTCCCGCAGTAGGCTTGTATTGTTGCGACACACCGCCTGACCATTTGTGTTAATCTTGGACATTTACAAGAAGACCCAGCTAGGGGTATAACTAGCATCACTAAGGCGCAACCCTAGGCGTCGGCCGCTGTTTGGCACAACCTGTTCAGAGGGTCTGCGTCTGGCCAAGGGAGTAAAGACTTAAAGGGGCGTGAACGCCTAGAAGGGTTTTACTCCTGCGGAGAGGCGTGGGATAAAAGTCGAATCATATGAGCCTTTTTTAGGAAATCCTGATTGAATGCTTATCAGGAACAACCTATCGTGGCGCAACCCGCGAAGGCACTACCGCTGAAATAACAATGCGATGGGTCGTAGATCTGGAATGATCACCCAGACTATGGCGGACCAAGATGGAGACTTAGTCTTTCTGTACTAGACTGCAGGGAGGTTTATGTGGAGATCTATAAGGCATATTTACATGTGCTTAATGTGAAGTTTTTTTTTTTTTAGGGAGGCGAGAGAATGCCTTCGAAGGTCTCGGTTAGGACCCGCGCCCCTAGTCACGACTTGATTTCAAGGGAAGGGCTAGGGCCACACAACGAGAAGCTGGCGGCTGTCTAGGGCACAGGGAAAATGGTGGTGAGAGATCCAATGAAACTTATGCTGTAATATAGTGAGGAGTATCTAGACGTCCGAATGTCATGGCGACGGAGACCCAGGTTAGAATCCTGGCAGCATAAAGTTGTGTTTGGCATGGATTATTGGAGGCCTCAACCCTGGGTCTGTCGGTTAATCGGATTGGTACCCTGCTCGTCAGCATTTTGGAATTGTGATTGAATTAATAGCTTTTGATCCTGCGAAGCGACGGGGACGTCGCTTAATATGGTACGGTAAGCTGTCGGTGCGAATACCCTTCCAAGGGTATCCGCCATGGGTTTTGCAAGCGACAGAAAAACAGTTTGATTTAAAGTTTAAGTATGCCGCGCTAGGCGCTGCCGCGTCTGTAACTTATGTTGACTAGGTGGTTGACTAGAGTAAAGAGTGTGTGGGCGCGCAAGTTTGAGGCGCGCGTGATTTTTCCTTCGTTTGGCTACACTAGCAAACGTGGCGTGGACTTCGGTCAACGTGCTTCATTATAACAATCGTTTGTTTTGATTAAACAGACTAACTATGAGTGTATTGTTTTCTGGTTCCGCGGGGTACGGTGGGCAGTTCAGTGAGCCGGTGCGGACGTATGCGGAATCCAGATGAAGGGACCTGATGGATTCGGATAGGGAAGGGTAGTTGCGGCACGGCAGGTAGGCCAGCGTGCAAGTGTGGGCCGGGAAGTAGCATAGGGTGTTTCCTTGGATCCAAGAGCCGTGCGCTACCTCTTTATTAGGAGATTCGAGCCCACTGGTACCAGGCTTGGGCCTAGCCCTATAGGTTACGGCATTAGGCTGACACTACGGAGGTTCGGGGATCGAGGCCAGCGGGCGTCGGCGCAGCAGCAGAAGAGCAAGATGGAGCGAAACCTGAGGGGTTGAGGGCCCGGAAGGGCTATCCCCCTCGGTTTTGGTAAAGGACACGGTGGTGGGCCTGACCCACGGGACGAGCACCGGGCCGGTAGCCCCGACGGGGCCTTGATATCTTATTTTTCTTTAATTCTTTTTCGTTTGTCTCTATATATCGTCACATTTTATTTATTTCGCCACGTCTGTACTTAGGCGTGACGCTGTGAGTAGGTACGTCCGTGAGCTGTTGGAATACAGACCTATGGTCAAATTTTGTGGGTAAAGCCGTTGTGGCGAGTTGCCGCGGGCGTGGCCCAGGCGCTTGTCCTTCAGGACATTCGCTAAAGTAGGGACGACACAGGGAAGGTTAGGAGAAGCTTGTATACGAAACTACTAGTTTGAAGTAAGCCGGACCCGTCTGAACCCAGGCGGTAGCCGGGCCAGGTTCGCGCGCCCCGTGTCGTAGTTTTTTCGGGGTACTGGCTGTATAGAAGGGCGAAAGTGCTCAAGGCTGAACGGCTCGGCGGGCAGGCGGGCTGCTGCTAATACCCCCGCGGGTTTTGACTTCGTGAACTGCTGGCCGGCTGCCGACGATAGCCGGCGCCCGACTGCCGGGTCTGGGGGAGTACGTAGGTAGTGGCCTAGCAGGCCGGGAAGAAGTTAGTGCGGGAAAAAGGGGATGC